CAAAACCCAGGGGGACAGGGCTCCGGGGAAGAGATTCACGCCGCCGAGCTCCCCTTCTCCTGCCCTGAGCCACAGCGTTGTGTCAACACGGCTGCAGCCGAGCAGCGAAACCTCTGCTCCACACCTGGGGAGGAAGGGCAGTGCCAGGTTCCCTTTCTGCCTTCGCCAGGTCTCCCTGCAACGGGCTTTGAGCAAGAAACCAACCCCAGGCACCGACCGGGGAGAGGAAGGGAAGGAGCAGAGCGTCGGTGCTGCACCGGGTTCCCAACTCTTGCAAGGTTTCCTGGGTGCCAGATGCTCTTCTGCCCACTTCACCGAGCCCAAGCCCCCAGGGGGTGAAGACCTCATTTTACAGTTGGTGCTGGGCAAGGGGATGGATTAGACCACAGTGTGCGATGCCCAAACCGCTCGGACAGCAGCTGCGCCGGGCCCTCGGCGCTGCGGCAGCTCGGCCCAAACGCTTTCCCTTAGGCGACCGGCGCGCCTCGGGGCGGCTCTCCCCGCGCTCCCGGTCCCCACGCTGGCCGACGACCTTCACAGCAACGACTTTTTCCTTGGGAGAGGGTGGCCTGACACGCGAAGCCCAAACAAGGCAGCTGTCAGCAGCAAGCCACGCAGTAAAACGAGAACGGCAGTTCCCAAGCGTCAGCGACAGCCACAGGCGCTCGCCCTCGCGACGTTTGTGCTTAGCTAATCACCCCCGAGGAGAAAAAGAAACTTAAACTGATCCTTGGGAAGAAAGTGCCTGCTCCCTAATCAGCTTTCATCTGAGCGTGCATGCAGCCCCGGCTCCTCCGGGAGCCCGCTCCCGGTCTCCCTCGCACCACGGTTAAATCCTAAGCCGTGGCAAGGCCAGAGCTCTCCCTGCTAAATACCCTCCGGGATTCCTTTATTTTCTCCAGCAGGCAAAGCAAAAATAGCCAGGGTTATCCTCTGGCAGCCCCGTTCCCGCCAAGGAACGAGCACAAATGTTTCCAGCGAGGATCACGGCGCCTTCTTCCTCCTTCCGAGGGGAGGGGAAGAGCCGTTCCCAAGAGCTCGGGCTCCCGAGCAGCGGTGCCAGGCAGGATTCCCTCGCAGTGGCCTCACCTACGTGATCAGGGGTTAATTCACCGAGTTAAACAGGCCCTTGTTCTGCAAGGGGTCAAAAATAGCCTCTCTGCAGATACTTGTACAAGAAGGGACGTGCCTTGCAGCACAAGGCAGGTCGCTGCATCCACGCTGTCCCTCTCGGAGCTGTAAAATTAGCCTCTGGTGGCTCCTACCCGCCCCAGTAATCTCCCGAAGCAGCTAATTCCCAGTTATGCTGAGTGAAGGAGCAGCTATTTATTGGTTCCAAAACCACTGCTCTTCCAGTTAACTTGAGCATTGCCTTATTTTCCTGCAAGGCTCAGTTTTCAATTCTCCTTTAAAGGTGACAGCCTCGCCTCTTACCTCTGCTGTTAGCCCATGGCACTGTCAGTGTCCCGAGGCTGCCCTTGGCTGCAGCTGTTTCGGGCTGTTTCTGGAGGAGGCTGATTACCTCTAGCCTGTTCACGCATTGTCACATGCTGCATTTGCCGAGCAGCGCTGTGGCAGTCCCGCCGAGCGGGCCCCCGCGAGGTCCAGCATCCTTCCCCAGAGGATGCCGCCGATTCGGAGCTCGCTGATCAGCTCTGGTAGCACGCGTTTCCTTCGGCATCACTCTTGTTCAGCTTCATTTGTCATCATACTTTCTAGGAAGATCAAATCAACGTGCATGTCCTTATACGGAAGATTTGGCTCTTATTAATGTCTAAGGCTTACAGGACCTGTGGCAGACAAGTGATTTGAGCTATCTTCGAAATATCTTTCCTGTTCAAGTCAGCTAGGAAAATTCTCAATAGTGCTCCGTCTGGAGCATAAACAAAGTGTTAACTTCATTATTAACTAAACATTCACATTATTGGCTTCGGTATTAACCCCTGTCTATTACGTATGTTCTCACACTCCTGGATGAGATCAGATTTTGGAGGATCTTCAGGTCAATACTGAGCACGTTGACAACAGCACCCCCTGAATCGAGTGTTTCACGGTGAACAACTCTCCCTTCAGGAGCAGCAGCTCACAGCCGTATTCTGTCCTTTAAGGACTTTTTTCTCATTCATAGCTGAACTATTTCAAGCAAACACAACATCGTACGCTGTTCTGGGTAAAGAGCTTTCCCCGGGAGCCTTCGGAGGAGCCCAGCTTGCGACCCGCTGCCAGCCGCTGATAACGCGAGGCAGCAGCCTCCCTCGGCAGCCCGGCTCCCCCTTACAGAAGCTGCGCTGCTCTCTCCAACAAGCCAGTTCTCCTGCTCTGCTCCCTGACGTCAGCAAAAAGCTTATTTTGCCAACGGAGCGGCTTATGAACCAAACCGCTCCTTCTCGCGCCCATCCTGAGCGCTTTGCCAGCCCTCGCTCCGGCTAGCGAGGGCTGCTTTGAGAGGGCCCTGGCCAGGCGGCTCGGCCGGCCCGCAGCGCGGCCGCTCGGGTGCCGTTCAGACGCAGCCGGCAGACCGCCCCGGTCGGGCCTCCAGCGACCGACGGCAGCTTTGAAGAAAGACAGAGCCACCATCCGCACGCTCGCCCAGTGCGATGCCCTTCGGTAACCAGCAGGATGGTGCATCCAACACGTCCAGCCCTTCCAGCCCTGCACCCCGCAGTCCTCCCAGCCCCTTTTCCAGCCTTGCTCCAGCCCTTCCCGGGAAGCAGCCGCCCATGGGTGCCCTCTCGTGGCCAGTCCCCACAAACGGAGCTTTCACACAATTATTTTTCCCCCTTTCATCTTTTCAGTTAAGAGTACATGCTCTACTATGGCAGAGGGCTGCAACCATGCTGATGATAACTTAAAACCCTAGGCCAAGCCGTGGTGCTAAAATTGTGCAACGATGCAATACCAGAGAATTAATTCCAAGGAACCCATCGGTCTGCAATGCTCTGCTGCATTTGACGCATTTTAAAACTGAAAAGTGTAAACTCGTCATTTACAAAGCCCAGGAGGTACAGGTAACGCAACAAATACCTTTGCCAGGCTGGATCGGCTTCACACGATTTTTAGGCCTGCTAGTTTGCGTCAGTCAAACGCCGAGCTGCGATTTTCTTTCCCCAGAAGCAGTTACCTCTGCAATTGCCATGCATCCACTTACTTGGGAGATCTTCACTTCTCACCCCTGCTTTCTGCACTGCTGGGCTGGACACTGCAAGGGAAACCAAACCAAACCCCCACACCAAAGAGCACACCCACAGGCTGAGCAGCCCGTAACCGGCCACTCTGCTACGGGCCAAGCGGTGGAGCAGCCAGTGTGCCTCACAGCGCTGGTGAGCGCTGGCCCCAGTGCTGCTCCTCGTTGTAAAAACATGGCAAACTTGGTACTTTTGCAAGTGGAAAGTTAACAACTGTCAATGCTGGCGCTCTCCCTCACGCTGCCGCGCAGCTCTGCCAAGGCGCTGCGCAGAGCCACAGGGCCTCTCTGGAACAAAGCGCCAAGTATGTCAAATTGCTTGATGGTGAACACACAAAGGTTGTTAGTTACCAACTTTAGTTAGTTACCGTATCCATCTTTTAGTCAAGACTTCGAGCTTGGCATAACGCAGCAAGACCCTTGCAGTATTTTCAGTTACAACGGGCCTTCAAACCTGACTTCTTAGCTGGCTCAAACCTGCCCCAAACTCCTCCCTGTTGTTTCGGCTCGACACTGCAAACAGAAACTCTGCCCAGCTACTGCATAGGGCTGGCACGTGCAATTAAGGAGCTGCCTTGTGCTGCTGAATGACATCTCTACAGGGATCTCGGCGTGGCAGGTATCAAGAGAACATGAATCCTGCCTCACCTGTTATTTGAGCCTGTGACCAAAGCCTTCTCCAGATCACCCTTTAGACCTTTGGCTCATTTTGCTACTTAGGGTGCAATATTTTTCAGGGACTCGGGATGCTTGTTGCTTGGCAAGTTGATACCAGGCACCGGTACTCGGCAAAGAAAGCGCACACGTTATCTTACAAAGAAAATTTATTTCCTTTTATGAAGCTTATATTACATGCATTGACTGAAGCTAGTACAACAGTTAACAACGGGGCTGGGGTTTGTCCAGACTTCCTTTAGTGTTTCTGGAATAAACCAGGCCAAATTAAAGAATCTTTTGCCCTTAGAAAACACAATCATAATACAAGGAATGTTTTTTGTTTTCATTTTAATTACTCCTTCCCTACTCCCTGCCCCCCAGCTGCATATATCCAATGCTGAGGCTTACCAAAAAAGGAGGCAGGAGAGGAAAATCTAGCACACACGCATACTTCCCCCATACACCCCTAATAAACCACCAGGATGGGAGGACAGATTCTAGCTCTATTCAAAGAGGAGTACAAAACAGAATACCAGGAATAAAGCTCTTAGGGCAAACCAGATGCAGTACCCTTTAATAATTTTACTAGGTAAAAACAGTTTACACATTGTTCAATGAGATGCTATAAATTCCTTTTGATTAATTCTCTTCAGTTTTATGATGTTGGACAAGCAGCTGAATACACTGAAATATTGATTTCTAAAAAGAAAAAAAAATAAAAATATTGCATCCTTGTCAGTTTCTGCTGGATATTCTCTCATACCCACCAGAGGAAGGTGTAGAGTGCACCAGAGATCACAGCCTAGTATAGGCTTAATATCAAGTATAGATGCACAGAAGCAGGTGTCTTCATCAAACCAAACGTCAAGCTGGTATGCGTTCGTTTCCACACAGAACGAATGCTTGCTACAACATCACCGTTCAGTCCCCTGTCACTTGCGTGGCTTGGCCGTCTGATGTTTGGTTGGTGGACTGAATGAACATGGGCTGGGTAATGTCCTGGCCTGCAGGCATGGTCACTTGCTGAATCTGATAGAGTTGCTGGCAGAGACAGAAGCAAGGGAAAGAAACGGCTATCAGTTCTCATCCTGTCCAGCCTAATTCTCTCAAAGCAGAATGCTGTGCTTTAACCCTACAAGTTGAGCGGTGGTGTTAACAGCAGATCTCAGGTCCAAGTAAAACCTATCCCCAATATCACACCGCAAATTGCCCCTAGACATTCGGTGCTAAGTTACAGCAAAATAATCCTGTGAATTTTTGATGCCTAGACTGAGCTCAGACTACTTAAGCAACAGTTGACAGCTAAACGGGATCTCAGTTCCTAAACTGGTTAAGATTAAAATGGATCCCACCCAGAGTGCAAGGACCGAATTAATTTGAAGGAAGTGTAGCAGATCAAGAAGAATCCACCTGAATTAGAGTGGCATAACATATGTTTACCCGGCTCTTCTGCTTAGGTTTTGGTAGCAGTAACAGTGTTTTACCTGGAATAGCTGATTTGTTAGAACAGGCAGGCTAGAAAGATAGTCTTAAACTCTTTGACTTCAAAGGGATGTAGTACCCATGAACTCCCAAGTTTTTACCTGTCCATCTGTGAACTGGCTGAACTGCTGCTGTCCTTGCTGGACTTCTGTCTGTGTTATCTACAACAGAGAGAGAAGGATGATCACTGATAGCATTTTAGAGAGGGTCAGAACCCTATTAACAACATTCTGCTGCCGCCTTTCAAGAGCTTTCAGACTCTCAAACTTCACTGCACCACCACGTGATAAGATAAGGCTTATGTTGCCTGCCCACGGTCATGCTGGTGCTAACTGCAAGTCAAGAACAAAGGACGTGGCATACAGTCATTCCAAACCAAACACAAGCATCTCCTGTCTGATTTTTTTTTTTTTTTTAAAAAAAGGAGAATGTGGCCTCCAAGATTGCAGAAAAGCAGTGGCCTTCGAATCCTCTGAAGGCAGAGAAGAATCCCTTAGTGACCAGTCTTGACAAGACATGGAATAAGCTGGTGACAGCAGCACTGGTCTTGATGTTTCACCTCTGCAGTACCTCTCCTCAGAGCTCGTGTTGCTGCTCCTCCCTCACCCAGACAGAAGGAGCGAAAAGTAAAGAGAAGGCTGATGAACTGAAGTTTTAGCTGCAACCAGCTAAGAAGCAGCATGAGCTTTATACAGTGAGACACATACACATGCATGCACCTTTCACGTATAGGTAAAGGAGACTTCCACTGTGCTCCTTGTTTTATTATTCTGAGGAAGGTAACAGGAAGAAAGGAAATTCAGGAATCCTACTCCAAGAGTTGGTAAATTTGACTGGGATTTGCAGTTTCAGGCTAGGGAACAATACTTAGTAGTTAATGTCAGCCTTGCTATTATAGTGCATACCTGCTGTGCATTGGTTGCAAGCGTCTGGATCTGCCCCTGGACTACCTGGGTGCCTGACACAGGTTGGGCTAAGCGGATATACTGCAGCTGGCCAGCATTCAACTGAACCTGGAGACAAGCGGAGGGGGCAGGGAAAGAAAATTAAACAGATAACTGTGTAACCTGAAACACACAAACTTGCCTTCTTGTTTCCACAACAGAAACCAGAGTAATAGATGACACTGGGAAACTTCAGTTGATTACCAGTTGAGATGAATAACTATCACGGACCCTGCCAAAGCAAGAACGAAGCCCACAGAACTCCTGCAGATTCTTGAAGTAAAACCCCGAAGAAGCACAACATTATTTCTTTTTCCAAAACGGGAATGGTCAGTTAGTAGCTAAAGCATATTAATTGCTAAAGTTTAGAGAGCTTAAAGAACATTTGTTTTTAATTATGAGAACTGGATTATTTCTTTGATGTATCATTTCATATAAAGAAAACTCTTACAAGAGCTAGCTGCACATAATGACACTACTATATTCTGCCAAAAATAAAAAGAAAATATAGAGGGCAGGGAGAAGACAGCAGAGATGACAAAACCCAGTAATATTGCAAGACAGCAGTATTTTGAAGTTTTCAATGCAAATCTGTGCCAGCGTACATCAACACCCTTCTGGCAAAGGGGGTACTTTTTGTGTCAATGTTTTGTGTTCTACATTCAAGTGCAAATTTTTATTTATTATAACCCTTACCTCACAGAGTTAAATACTTAAGGGAACGGGTTATGAAGATAACGTCATCAGGGTAACCTCAACTCTCATCTTGCATTTTCTGGGATACGAAAAGCTAGTTCTACTAATACACAATATGGCAAGAAAGAGGTCATCGTGTGATTGACATTACTATTGAATTTTTCATTGAGTTATTTAACTTCAGAACATTTAGATTCATAGCCTTGAAATTAATTACGTACAAAAACTTGGTTTCCAAGTTGTCTTCTTTTAAAAAAGGGGGGAAAAGTTACATACAAAGTTCTTGAAAACTACTCACTGACAAAGGTTGGAAGTGCCTAGAACAAAAATTATGCTCTTGGCATTAACACAAACACCGTGGACTTCACCAGCTGTGTCTAAAAGCTCCAATATTATTCCAAGAGCAAATAAACTCCACAGGAGCATAAACGTTTCAAAAAAGAATCTGATTCTGCATTGAGATCTACCTGCAGAGCACGTTTTCTACACTGAAGGCTTCCTGCTTAGGTTTTAACTACACTACTAACTGAATGGATGGAAGCGTTTCAGAAAAAGCGTTCTTCCAGAAATGAGAGCAAGCTCCAAAAGACCTATCCAATGAAATCTAGCTCAGATATAGATGAAGTTTAACATGCAAAATTAATGTAGGCAAACAAATGATTAGCATTTACTTGATATACACACTTCCTTCCAGTTTTACTGCAAGCTTGACATAGAAATAATAATAAAAATGCAAAGTCACCTTCCCACGGGTGATCTGTTGCCCAAGATCAAATACAATAAATTGCAGTAGAAAAGTGGGTAGAATATCAGGAACACGTGGAAACCAGCAGAGAACATTAGTGAAATTCTCTAAATGTTCAAGCAACTTCCATAGGTACTAGCAGTTTTACCAGAGTTTTTCAAACTTTCCTATTTGTGTTATGAAAGATTCTTAGCCGAACCCTAACAAACACCAAAGAGAGTGAAAAAGAAATCATCAGAAGACAACGCTAACTATAGCATCAAGGAATAGATAGAAAGGAAACCCAAGGGGGGAAAAAAAAAAAAAGCATAGCAGAGAGAGGGTAGAACGGACAAACAGCACTAAAGAAACCAAGCACTGCTGCTCTGTGAAACCAGACGAAAAAGTTTTCCAGGTTAGTGCACTAAAAACCCTTCACAGCGAGTGCACAGCTCCCGTGTTCTATTTTACTTCACTTGCTAGATGTGAGCAAGGAGGAAGCTATCTTCCCCAATACTAACTCTAATTCTTCAACATGCTGTGAGATTAAGAGGATTCCTCTTAATTACACTAAAAACAGTATCTCTGCTGGATGTGGAAGTGATAATTTGGACTATTTCACTAAAACATTGCCAGCAAAACACTTTTCTTAAGTTACTCCATATTATGGTCTTGCAAATCTCAGACTGGAGCACTCCTGAAGATGAAAGATACTGTACTCGGGCACCTGAGTTTCTATCTCACGTCCACAGCAGTAAGAAGCATCGGAAGACCAGTCACAGCTACCTGTTTTCAAATGTTCTCAGGCGAAAGGAGGGTAGAAGCGCTTGCCTAGCCAAAACCAGACACTAATTATAAAGCCTCCAGTCTCATTTTCTTAAGGTCCACGATCACCTACAACAGGAACCACCTACGCGGAGAACAGGAGTTTCTGCAGAACGCTACGGTACCCCTCGCAGTTGTTCTTTGAAGAATTCTTTCTCCTAGCAGATCTCAGAGGTCAAGTCTTCTTGCAGAGAATTATAGCATTCAGTGGAGACAACTGGAAAACAAGCTTGAAACTGTTCTTTTATCACTGGAGCAAAGGAAGATACTGCAACATTCAGCCTTGTTACAATACTCAGGCAAGGCTTGGAGATTGCCTTCCAGAATGTTTACAAGAACAAATATCTTGGAGAGACTTCCATAAGAAAAGGAAGAATGTAAAAGAAAGGCAGTGGAGAACGTAGAAAAGGGGGAAAAAAGTTACACGTAGTAAAACATCGTATTTGGCAAAAAACGCACTTCCTTTCTGACCAACACTGCAAGCCAAGCAGTAGGAATCAGCTGAAGACTTAAGAGATGAAAAGCAGCGAGAAGTCAACTGGAAAGTCTGGCAACACTCACCATCTAAACCTTTTTCAAGATGTTATGTCAAAGCAAAAACATAATAATAGAAATCAAAGGCAAAATGAAATTCTTGTCTCGGTCACTCAGTCTGACCTTTGAGTTTGCTGGTTAAGTACACAGAACTGGACAGATTTCTTTCTTTAAGAGGTGTGAAATTTTCCAGATGGGAACAAAAAGTCCCAGCTTTGTTGTGATTAGAAGCTACAGAGAGGAAAAAAGTGACATATGTTTGACCCACATGTTTACCTAGGACACATGCCAGAAATTTACTTCTGATGTTGGGTGCTCAAAAATCATACTCTTAAGGCCAGCAGGTCTATATCGACGCGAAAACAAGCAGGTATTTTCTGGTTCTGTAAAGCCATTCCTTCAATTAGCTCGAACTATTTTGTAGAAATATTTTTACAATATGAAAGTTTATTAAAAACTCAAAGATGGCACCTGCCCCACTGCCAGGTCATGACTTCAGATTGCAGAGGCAGAACCAAGTGAAGGCTCCTGAGGTTAATTACACCTTATGGATGTTGTAGTAAAGGACTAAGGCTTATCCAGGAAATATTTTATTTATTGCTTCCTAATCATAACTATTTCACTAAGGGGAAGTGTTGGGGGCGGAGAATGGGTTTACACTACATGCGTTAGATTTATTTCCCTCTTTGTGTCACACACCTGGTTAGCTTTCCTCCCTCAAAGGTAGGAAATGCACCACTCAATCCAAACTTCCTCTTTTAATTAAAAAAGCATACATGTACGCTCTCATGCCAAAACACCAGTGGACAGTTTGCTCACAAGACTGTTAAACATTCCTACTGGTAAAGTCTTACCGGTATTTGTTGGATTTCTCCTGTATTGGTGATGATCTGCTGCATGACTTGCATGGTCTGCCCAGTTCCACTCTGAGCCTGCTGTGTTTGTCCTTGCGGCTGGGCCTGCACGATCTGTACCTGTTGACCTTCTCCAACCTGCATTGTCACAGGAGTGGTCTGAATTCAAAACAGAGGAACAAGGACCAAGCAAGGATTGAACACAGGTGAAACAGCCACAAGATACAAAGCTAATAATAGACAGATTGCTTCCCAGATCCACTGTTAGCTTGCTGACGCTTAAACCACCAGCAAGGGAATCCAAGACATGAGTAACCCTCATTATCGAGGTAGGTGAACACCTTGCCAGCTCTGGCATACTTATCCTCACAACACTGCTATGAAGGAGGAAAGTGCTGTTTTCTGCTTTTACAGATAGGTAACCGGGCCGAAGAGAGGCTAAGACACGCCAAACATTCAAGAAAAACGTATGTCTATAGGGATTCAAACTGAGATTTCAGAGCTCTGAAGATAGCAGTGGTCTGGTAATTGGAACCGGTTTCCTGCCAAAACACTGCTCAACTGGAAAAGCAAAAGATGCCACGTCAGCCCTTACTAACACCACACAACTATTGGCCAAACAAAGGAAAAATCAAGTTATTTAAGAAGAATCACACAGGCCCCATTTCTCTGAATATCCACACTGTGCCTCTTACAGCATCTGTCCACTGTTCTGCAAAAAAATTGATTTCTTAATTTCAGTATGCTAATAACAAGAGTAAGGACAAAAAAAAAAAAAAAATCAGCGAGAGTCACGTGATTGACAGTGTCCAAACACAACCCCAAATTTATTATGGCTTCACTGTTACTTGGAAAAAGACATGTGGCTGTCATTATTTGTTGCAGAATAACAACGTGCTGTACTCCCATAAAACAACATAACCAATAGTATAGAAAGTAAAAGGATATTTCTATCCTACCTAGGTCAGTGCAATTCAGTGTTTCAACTGTCTCCTCCTATTGCAAAGGACATGACCAGAACACACATTTCTATAATACAGACTGTTCTGAGCAGCGAGAACAGGATGCTGCAATACATTACAGAGGCAAATCAAGGATTTCACTGGCTCCACTGAACTGCAAAGCCCCCGAACTCTGCACATGACTCACCTGCCCTTGCTGTGGCTGAGCAATGATGATTTGTCCTGGCTGGATAGTAGTTGTAGATGTGGTGGTCTGTTGTCCTTGCTGTTGCCCCTGAACCTGAACTGCAGCAGGCTGCTGAGCAAGGGTGAAATAATACTGTACAGGTTCAGCTGGAGTCACAGCCTGACGCACCTCTTCCTGTGGTATAGGTTAAAAAAAGGGGGCAAAAGGGGAGGGAATGAATCAACACCTAAAACCCCTGCCCCAAAGGGAGATGAAATACCCTCTATGAGCATGCTCAATGGGAAATAATCTTTAATATCAAGTTCTCAACTGTTTAACCCAAGTAATCCTGAACTGATAAATCAAAATAGGTTTCCTCATTTACTGAGCTATATAAAAAAACCCAATACCCAAAGTATAACGTAGTCAGTAATTTCATTATTAGAAACAAACGAATAAAACTACCACAGTTAAAACCATGCAACTGCTCGTCAGTGAATCCCATCACTGCCTGTTATCTTAACATAGGATGAATTATAAATGCACAAAGAACTTCAAGTCTCATCCGTCACAAAACCCTCTCCTTAGCCTACATACCCAACACAAATCTTAATCTAGCACTTGATATTAAATCTCCAAGAATAAAAGCCATGTACTGGATGCATTCTGTAGCGCCGCTCCCTGCCTCCCCCTTCCGGACCAACTTTTCCGGAATTAAAATGATTTCATCTTGCCCTGTGGCATAACAGTCCGATTCTGCTGGTAGCAAAAATACCTCAACTTTTGTGTTGGTAAAGAAACAAAGGCCCTGATCTAACTCATTGTCCGAAGCACTGGAAAGCTGTAATACTGCTGTTCTGGTTTATCCAAGCATGTCTTTGGGAGCAAAAAAACCCTTTATGATTTATGAAGTTTGAGGTAAAGGAGTAGAATTTGGGAGACTATGTTAAGTGGCAAGCAACTCAAAAATTCAATTTCTTCAGCTGCCAAGAGAAGAAGTTGGATCTTGCACCTTACAGAAGATGCAGCTCACCAGATGTTCACTCCATGGCAGAAGGCGTAAACAATCCTCTCCCAGCCACCTCAAGTTCACAGCTGAGAGTGTAGGATGTTTACACGTGCTACAGCATGGCAGATTCCAAGTTACACAAGTCCGCTTGATTCCCTTGCAGTAAGCGAGGCTTGCTCGTGGATAACCTTCAACGTGTCTAACTGGTCAGTCAAAGAACTCAAATTAAACAAGAGCTATACATGTTGTCAAGATAGGGCATCAGGCTTGAATAAGAAAGCCCTCTCCCTTAATTGCTAGTCACTCAAGGTGACTAGCAAGACTCCCTTAAGAAAAGGCTTATTAATGGAAGGTTCCTCAAAAGCCTATCAAAAAATTACGCCCCCAAAGGTTCACTGCTGGCTGTAACCAAGAAGTGATTTCTGAGCCGCCTGGCTCTCAGAGCAAACAACATTAGCACCATCCAACAGTTGTGCAAAGCACTGCAATACAACATTTACAGTCCTTCCTACACAGGTTAATTGACTGATTATTCCTACTTGCTTTATCAAGCCTTTGAGGAGGGATGAATAACCCATTGTGAATATACTCACAACAGGACACGCGTCTTCAGTTAATCATAAAACCGCACGCATGGAGAAGAGCTGTAGCGCTTTCTGTAAAATCTGGTCCTCAGATGTGTTATTTCTAGAGCACTGCAATCCTCAATTCCTAGCTGAATCCTGAAACAATTCAGGCAACTGAGCACTTCTATAAATATCTATTCTAGGTTAAAGTTGCATGTGCTACAGGCAAAATTGTCTTTAAATTTGAATTTGCTTAAACTAGGTTATATCCTATCGTTTGCTGTCTTTTATTTTCAAGCCATAGCTTTCGTTACCAGAGCAACATAACAGTCATGGTTTCATTTCCAGCTCTCCCATGTAACCAACACTAACTTGTCAAACAGTCTTTGCTGTGGTAGAGATAAAATACAGATTGTATCCCAGGCCAAAAAGTGCAGGCTGTCAAGGCTATAGGCAGCTCTTTTTCCAGAGCTGTTGAATCAAAGGAATATTTTCCACTGAAAAGTCCTCATCTATGTTAATGCCAGTAGTTAATTCTCCATCAAACCTCTCCTGTCACCGGTACTATTCCTAGCGATTCAGCAACGTCCACAGACAGCGAATACACCAGTGTGAGACACAGATTTCTAAAGCCTATTTCACCCCTGAAGCTGTCCGAGTTCCGCTGTTCGGTGTGCTGTGCAATCCTAAAGAGACAGCTCTGGTGGGATGCATCACCAAGACAAGTTAACGTAACAACTTATATGCATGTAACACACTGCTATACTTCACATATTAATTTGATTGCAAAACACAAGGGTTTCCTTTTTGCTGTGAATTAAATAGCTCCAGTAAGAAAGTAATATGGAAGGTGTTCTCACTCCCCAACATAGAATAATTATAAAAATAGCAATACTATGCTGAATAACTAGATGAAACATCTAAAAGAAAGAACTCTCTGAATTTGCAATGTCAGTGACAGAACTCACCTGTGTTACTTCAGGCTGCAACTGACTTGCTTTCGGCTTATTAAGCGGAACAAACTGAAACGTGGGATCCCCTTGCCTCAGTTAAGCATAACAAGGGCTAACCAGCTGTTGTGCAGGCTGCTGCTTTTGTCGTTTTATTTAATACTGAACTGATGATTTTTGGATAAGTCATTCGCTGCAGGGATAAAACAGGCAACTCAGCGAAGGAACGGAAGGAGCTGTGCCACACTCCCACACGTGATATTCACCAGGCATACAGAAAACAGAGTCCCTAGCACACCTGAAGTCTTGGAACATTGCTAATTTTAGCCATAGCTCACTACAGTGGTAGGATGGACTCTCCTGCACACGTTGTGACAAGGAAATGCATTTTCCTCATTTACCAGGAAGTCATGCTGTTTCTGGAAACCGGAACGTGAGATCAAACTCAACTCAGGACATCATCAGAAAGGATGAGGTATGCATTTTTCCCCCTTTGACCGAGACTTCAGTAACACCACGAGGATGGTCTAGAACGGAAGCACTGCCTGCTGCACTCAGAGAGCAAATATCTCTTTTCACGTTATCCAGATTGAACTGGTTTCGTATTCCAACAGAAAAGAAAAACTTCCATGTAACACACTTGCCAGAAAGATTTTTTACAGCCTCTCCAGTAGCCCTGGCCCGAGAAGACATTTCAAGGACCTCCTTGGATTTTCCAAAGGTAAGACACTGAAAACCTTCAAAAGTATCAGAAAGCCAACTGAAGACAGTATACAAATACATCGTTATAAGCCACTGAAATCTACTGTTCATAGAAGAAATTGCTCCAGTTCCATCAAATCAGGAGTCACAGGCAACCATTCCAGGAGTTACAGAACAAGGTGCTGAAACAGCAGCACTGTCAAAATGCAGCTGTTACCTAGAAGGACTACCGATGGTAAATCAGCCACTTTATCAGGCAACTTGTAAAGAAGACAGAGAGACAGTTTGACCATTGAACTGGTGAACTATTAGCAGCAAAAGAGAACAAACTTTAAGTGAAGGAGATAAATTAATCCATCAGAAAGCTGGATCGGTTTCTTTGTGCATTTTGAAGCAGCAAGACTGGGCTTCAACCCCAACTCATTTCATTTTCTGGCACTGTCTCAAACATGGAGGGAAACAGACACTTTGTAAAACACAAACCGGTTAAGTTTTAAAGAAGATCTTGTGTTCAGATGACCGCAGCAGCCTGCCGCTGTAAACATCCGACTGAAAGCTCCTTCCAACACCTTACAGCTTCCAGTCAAGGATGTTTACAGTAGCAATGACTGCCCCAAAGGATGCAGAAGGTGGTACTTCTAAGCAAAAAAGCCTGTTTCTTCCTCTACAACAGTCAAAGGACGTAGACTCAGCACGTTTTTAAAAGTTAACAACATTTATCTGAGCTATATAGTAAAGGTTTTGTCACATAAGTAAATCCCCAACTTAGACTCCTGTAAATCTCCAATCCATGACTACAAGCTCTCTTTTGCATTAAAAAGTTAAAGGACTTGAAAATACTGCAAATAAGCATGCAAAAAGAAAAAAAGAAGCCCAAACCTCATCTTTAAATCTGAGATTCTGTACTGCTTTATCAATTCTTTATCAATTACAGAGCGAAGTCAAACCAAGGAAAGGACAGACAACAGAGCAACCATTTTTCTGTCTCACCTGGCGCTTTGGCGGCTTCAGTTCATCTCTTGGAACAATATCAATGAGAAAGTCAAATTGATCAAACTTTGTAATTGCCATGGCAATGTCATTCCTCTATAACAACAAAAACAGAAAACCATTCTTCAGCTTCAGAATTCCATTTTGTTGCTGGATAAATACAGTTAGAGGTTTTTAAATCAATCCATGTGAGAGCCTCTTCTCTGGATCCCAAACAGCAAAGCCAGGGAGTCAGAACTTCTGTTTCAGTAACACCAGCATTGGCTCATGCTGGGTGGGAACTCCAAGTCGCACAGCAAAAAAAAAGTGCTTATTGAACTCGGGCTATTACAATCACCTACTCATCCACGAGACCTAATCAGGCCCTCCACAATGGCACTGCTACAATTCACTGCAGGAGGCTCATGACAACAGAATTAAAAAAAAAAAAAAAAGGGGGGGAGGGAGAAATTCTTCTAACATCAAAGATAGCTGAAAAGAACCTTTGACTGCTCCAGGTATTAGTGCCAACATATGCAGAACCTACAAGTTTGGGAGCAAGAAAGCAGTGGGGAGGGAAGGCACGATGGGATCTTAATCAAGGTAGGAGAATCCCAAGATATGTCGGGAACAAGCTTCAGCACGCGGAAGGGCAAAACGGTTAGCAAAGTATGAAGATTAAAACATACTTAGCAAACTGGCCAAATGCGTATCAGAAAAAGGTTGTGCAAGAGCCAATGAACAGTATGAGGAATTGGCAAGGTAAATGTCATCTTAGAACTATTTATAACTTTTATACCTCACCTGAAAAAGAAATCTAAAGATTAGCATTAAAGGTCATTAAAGACCTGAATAAAGAGTTAGCCTGCAGTAAGTCATCACTTAATTGTATTTGCTCAAGATCTGAAATAACCTGAAGACAAAAAGGAAAGCTATTCTGCCATTTTAAAATGCTTGCAAAAGTAGAGCTAATTCAAGAAGCTATTAAAAGTCTCACTTTCATTAGCTGAGGATAAATTTATAAAGCCTACATCTGAACATGATTTGAGACAAAGATGCCTACGCTGCCTAATGAATAGGTAACACTTAGAAGGCTATCAATCCTCAACATTTCAGGCGAGTTAACGTTTCTAAACCTTATATTGTCTTAGCATTTAAGTGCCAAACAATGATCACGTAGAAAGCACAAGTAAGAGACATTTCTTTTGTTGTGCAGGCACCGTACGTTATAAAAAGCATCTTCACCAGGAAAAAAACCTTTATTGAACAGATGCAGCTCATATTTCATTCTCAGCGCTCGGGATTGGGTTCAATCCAATTTCCCCTGGAATATAGTTCCATAACTCAGACCTCTCCACTGTAAATTTTCTACCCAACTACTTGATAAGCAGAGGCTGCGTTTCTGCAGCTGCACTGTCCCTGCGGAGAGCAGCTGTTCTAGGATGGCAGCTGCTGTGGAAGGCAAGGCAGTCAGAAGTAAAACCTGAGTCAATTCAAGGTCTTACATATTAGGATCAAGATTTAAGTATGATTCTGAAATAAACGGATTCATCAGAGCTTGAAAACTGCTAACAGAACATGACTGAGTCAGCATTTGCTGCTTATGAAGCATCTTGCTTGTGGTATGTATATCAAATATACCCTTCCCACAGTAACTACATTCAAATCTGGGTTAAGCAAGTTGCATTAGCCTAATTTAGAGGAAGTGGAACGGCTAGACGCACGTTCAGTATGATAGATTTGGACTGAGGTCAGACATGTCTCCTTCCACTACAGCAATTTCTGCACCAGGGCGCAGGAGACCTAACATTAGAGTCCTAAAGATCAGCATCTCACCTCTCATCTGAGGTCCTATGTTGATGGTGATTACAGTTTTGAGTAGTTCTGGTAAATACTTAAGGCTAAAAATGAATACCAAATGTTTTCACACAATAAGAGACACTGTGAAGGGTTACAATTTACTCTTGAACCACTCCAAAATTGACTATCCTTGAGAAACTCTCGCAGTCCAGAGAGAAAACCTGACCTATTCTGGAGGAGGAAATTTTTTCACGTTTTTCTCTCTCTGTACTTTCATCAACACAAACGAGTATCTGCAAGCCTGTGTTAAAATTACTACTGAAGAACAAATCAGCTAGCAGAAGTTCAATAGCTACAGGTATCCTGAGCAATTAAAGCAGGCTACAATTAGCTGACAGCTGCAGGAGGTTTTTTGTTTTGTTTTGGTTGTTTTTTAAGTTAAGAAAAAAGCACGTAAGCACTGCAGTTACAGTGGGCACTATGCTTTGCACACATTTGTAATGATAAACACCGGTACTAAAGTTAGTGTCTACAAAACATGGCTCGTATTATGGAAACAAAGATTTGTAAATAGCTTATGAAGCAGCTGAAGGCTAGGTACGAACAGCTCTGTTACCTGCAGAGTCCTGCGCTTGTTATCTTCAGTGTGTATCCACGCTCGCAACGTCAATTCCGTTATGAATATCTGAGCTGCCTTGGCAAACAACACAGGAGCTTCAGCACTAATCATCTGCAATTACATTCACACAATTTTTAAATTTACCACTAATATTCTAATGCAGCACAGATACTCTCACTGCAGTCAGAGTAACCTGATAACGTTAGTCAAGTCTGAATGGCTGCATTGTTGAACGGTAAAGCTTGGGGAATTTCCACCTCCGAAGAATCTGTCTATGGGTTTTTCAGTCCGATGAGTTACCAGCCTTGAGTTAAATGTCGTTGTAAGAGTATTGGTCACCTACTATCTGTCTTGAAAGTCTTTTTAATAAAATATAGGACTAGTCAAATGTTATCTCCCTATTGTGCTGGACTACGGCAGGCCAACAAAAAGGTTAGCTTAAACTGGCCCTGTAAGAAGTGAAACCCTGCAGGCGGTTCCTGTGGCAGCTTTCTCCAACTGAAAACCTATCCTAACAGTTACTACTATTGCAAAGATGGATTGCGTACAAACCAGCAGCCAGTGGGAAAGTTTGCAGAAATGCCCAGGCCAACTTTGCTGTCTCAACTCTATGATCACAAACCTCCCAACTTGCAGCTACAAATAGCATCACTGCATATTCAACCAGAAGGCGTCATCCAGCAGCTTCACACTGCAGTGCCTTGGCACATGCATAAAAGACTCTGAATGAGGGTGCAAACTGAAGAGGACAGGTTGAAGGCTCACTTCAAAAGCTGGCCCTTACTTTATAATCGTAACATTAATATGATTTGAATTATATGCAGGAATTATAAAGCAGCTTTGGGGCATACGACTCTGCCTCACCCAATTTTTTTTCCCCTAAAAGTATCCAGCTCAAGCATCCTTTCAATTACAGTTTCATTTTTAGCTGGCTTTGCATGAATGCTTATTTGCCAATACAGTCTTCTCCATGTTCAATAACGTCCCAGGAAAGCCAGAGATTTTTTTTTCCCCCCTTAAATCTCATCTTCATGATCAAGCATTTGGCACTGATTTGGTTAAGACACTAAACTGGGACCTGAGAGGCCTGGATTCAGTCAGGTTCCAGGCTGAATGAATAGCTCCCTTGTATAGGAAGACAACACTCACCTTCTTTGGGATCTTATTTCCATGTTGAAGATTGTCCTAATAGGAGGATGGTGTCACATGGAGAAAAACAAAAGAAAGTGCAAACTGCTCCCTCCCTTCTTAGGGGTTAAATGTTGGACAGAATCTTCTGATTTAAAAGCAGGGAGAGCCTGAGCAGTGCAGGAGTCAGCTCCCTGCAGGTGATTCGTTTGTCCCTCCTTTTATGTTAGTAAACTTTCATCAGTCAATTCATGCTTTATCAGTCACACGACAAACCAAGCACCATTTTTTGTCTTTTTTTTTTTTTTTTAAAACATCAAGGTTTCAGCTTGAACACTGATATCAAACTCACATCTTCTACCTAAAGTATTACACATTTTTCCATAGAATTTGAAGGATTATAGCAAGCACTTGTAAAGTGGTATCACTCTTTATACTAAATACTCTATAAATTCGTAAAACAGAGTCAAGAGAAGAAAGAAGGAAACATGAGAAAAGACAGTTAAGCACTAAAAAAAAAAAAAAAAATCAGGAAACACTCAGAATTATATAGCAGACTGATTATTTAACAGAAGAAAGCAAAATTGCAAAAGTCTGAAGCAAAGATCCCAAATTATTCTGCTTTCCAACTTCATTTTAATTACACTAAGCTAGCTAAATAATACATTCAAGGCAATCATTCTACAATGTGTTTTAAAAATAATAAAGTAATGAATTGCAAGGAGCTATATGACATTCACAAAAATCTCATAAATACATAAGTAAAAACACATGAATGCACCTTCACATCTTCATCTAGTTTCATAATCTTCTTAATACGAGCCAGGGGAAGTTCTTGAACTCTGAAGTCCTTCTGCAGAGAGAAACAGATTTGGAAAAGTCTTCAGTGGTACTTAACACAAAACAAAGGTCAGGTAAGAAATGTTAAAATTGTCTAAAACAGAAGTGACTAGAATTGGATAAAAATAACTTATTTTCTTCAAGATATGGCAGTTTCTGCTCAGACCCAAGTTTTCTCATTTGCTTTTCTTTATTTTACAGTGGTATACCACTACTTAAATCATATATGAGACACTCATCTGCTATTTCACCTCAAAGTTAAAGTCGTTCTGCAGAACAGAACATTTCTAATATTACACAATTTTGCATCTATTTGTTTTGGAAGCAACTATTTCAATTAGGTATCTTTTGATCCAGAAAGGATTGCAATTTACTAGAAGTCACACGAGAAAAAGAAGGCAGTGAGGAAAACAAGTGCTATGTGGGGCCACACTATGAAATCTTCATTTGTACTTTGCTGTTGTCCAATACCAGCTTTGGTGTTAAAAAAATCTTGCAAAACCCTTGTTCAAAAATCTATTCCATTCCTGTTTTTTAGCTGGATTTCTCACTATTTTACAGCAAAAGAGAACTGCTGACTCAAAATGAGGGGTAATGATGGCTTAGAAGGAGACAGAAGGTGAGAGAGATAATGCTCTCGTCGTACCGAACTATCCCGCTCTGCTTAGCTGTCAACATGTACTCAACCCGTGCAGCAACGGAGGCAACACCGCGTCATTATCTACATGAAAGGATACGCTAACATGTCCTTTGGAGAGACTCTCTCCAGAGAGAACTCATAGGGCTGAGGGAAGCTGCTAAGTTTTACTACAAATAGTAGACTCTCTTCTCTAAAAACATAAAGAGGAGTTAGAAAGCAAAAACACAAGAAAACAACAACAAAAAACCCAACACACTGTGTTCCTACAGGAGCCTCTTAAACGAGGGAGAAAGGCTGAGGCTATACCATTGCATTGGGAACGCATAACCCCTACCCACGAGGGGCTTCTAAAAATTTTCTTCCCTTCCAGAAAACAAACCTTAACAAAAGTGTCATAAAAAATAAAAGGAAATTCATTTCTCTAGGGAAGAATGCACTGCAAGATGTTCTCAGTGAAACAAAGATTGAAAAAAATGCTGTTTTGAAGCAAAACGCAGAGGTTGAACGTGGTTCAGACAGCATTCCAGCAGGGAGCATTTCATTTACATACATACATATATTTATATATATAAAATATATATTAACTTCCTCTCTGTCCTCCTTCTGGACAGAAATAGAAATGCAGTGCTCCTGGTGCTCCTGGTGATGATATACGACAAACGAGACCTAACTCTGGGGGGGTCCTTGCAGATCTGGGAAAGAACTGATATCCTAGGAACTCTGCCCAGGCTGCCTGCAGTCTCAGCTTTCAGCCGGGAAAGGACGCTGCCATGCAGGCAGCCAGGGCTGCCGCCTGTGGCCGGGGGGCAGAGCCCTGGAGCTGGCACGCTGCAACGCAATACCGAACAGAAGAGGACTTGCATCCCTCACTGCAAAGCAGGGAACAGAGGTCTGGAAGACACAAGGAAGGGCCCTTTTCGAGAGTGCTGAGATAAGATGCAAGGCTATTCACTGCTGGAACTTGCTAAACAACAGGGGACAAGGAGTACTGCGGGCAGCTGCACCCTGCTGGCGAACACAGCGTTTGGGAAGGATTCTGGGCAATAGGAGAAGAGGTAAACCAAGGGCTTGAACACACTGCAGTCAGGGTGGACCCTTCAACCTGTCCTCATCACAAACAAGGAGTTGCTAGAGCATGAAAAAAAAAAAAAAATCCCAAAGGTTTTTTTGTTTTGCTTTGAGGCTTGTTTCTTTTAAAAAGAGCTTTGTGAGCTTTGGGTAAGCCTCAAAGAAAGACGTAGACAAGATTTCTAATTCCTGAAATTCTTTTAAGTAGTGTTAAGTTCTACAAACAGCAGAGCTGCAAGGAGACATGCACAGGTACAACACAATTATAAGATTTAAATAAAAGAGACAGAGGGAGATATTAGAAAAATCCAAACTCCTTTATTCCTTTATGGCAGACAGGCAAGTGTCACATAAATCAAAATTAATATACAAGTACTACAGTGAAGGGAAGTCTGACTACTACCCAGCTGAACAAACTTAAGACACTGATTTTTCATCTTTTCTGTTTTCCAAATTAGGTCTTAATGTTTCCACGGGCCACTTACAACTAATTCTGGAACTGAAATGCATCACTAGTCCTATTTCTCCAAGACTAGGCTACGTTTCTTTCTGTTATATGGAGGCACAGAACGGGGACCTGTGCTTTATTCTTCTGAAGTAGTTCCTCTAAATTCTAGCAGTGGCTGCACACTGCAAACACACAAAACCAGACAGAGATAACCTCAAATAGGAGGCAACCAAAACAGGTTTTCCATCAAACAACTGCTCTGACCTCTGCTATACAGTATGCCTAAGCGAGTTCTAAGTTTACTTGCATGCACATACACGGGAACATTTTCAATAAGATGCACACTGATTTCAATATTTGATAATACATGGGCAGACGGCATAGGAATATTTTGTAGTTATCCCTTTTCCTTTCCACCTCCTGGCCATTGTCCTCAGCTAAGTTTTCAATGACTTACTATCTTGAATCATGTGACAGTTAAAAATTAAACTGCCTGTACTTGATAAGCTGCAGAATAAACCCTTTTCACTGGAGACTACAGCTCTCAAACACAAAAATGCAGCGCGCTAAAAGAGGAGTGTAATTAATTCTACTTTATGCATACGAATTTCTACATCTGTTTTCTTTGATCAGCTGCACACAGGCTGAGAAAGGAAGCTTATCTTGAAACTACTGGATTGGGGTTTTCACTTTGAATAGCCTATCTTCAACTTGAGTTCTTTTGTTTTCAGTTAAAAGCACAAGACTGCATTTTAGGACTGCTGTATCACAGTAATCTATCAATCTGTCTTGAAAAGGTATTTTCTTATAAGCCCTTGTTCTCAGGCACGTCTCTTTTGGGAATGGAAAAGAAACAGAAGCTGTTTAGCCTATACAGTTTTGGGGTTTTTTTTTTTTTCAAATCAAATGTCTTTAAATTAATAAAGCATATGATAGTGATGCACTTGGCATTCAAGTCATTGTCAAAACTTCATACTTGTCAAAGCAGACAGTTCTGAAATATGGCATAGTAGTTCTACACAAAAAGTCTAAAACCAAGAATTCATTCACAAAATTGCAACTGTCTGCCCACAGCTAGATGTCTGAGCTTATAAAGGAGAAAAGACTAGAAATCCTGCACACTTTTTGAATGGTAACATCTTCCAGGGTACACTGATCTGGCTTGTGCTTTGGTGTGGATAAGGAGGGGGACTTTTACATGGAAGCAATGCCAGTCAGGTTTTATATTGCAGAATTCTTCTGCTGTAGAATTTGAACAGCAGTAGGTCAGCCTATGTAGTACAAAGTGAGGTATATTCTCAAATCCTTCAACCTTCTATCCACTAAAGCAACTGCATTTAACCCATAGCTATTTTAGAATTGCTTCATTTTTCCCCTCCTCCCCCCAAAAGAGGATACCCTTGCAACTTTCCAGAAAGCAGCCAAGGTTGTCATCTAGCATATTAAAAAATTATTTTAATCATCTTTATCATAACTATATGGATCTTCTTGTTTAGCCCAGAAAGAGTTACAACTGTATGACAATTACATCTCATTACACTGTGAATCAACTACATTTAATTTGCATCTCAGGTTCTGGCAGTGGTAGCAAAAAGACTCGCTGTACAATTATTTATCAGATTTTAAGGCCGTCTTGCATTGTATAGCCAACTCTACTTAATCTCACAGGAAGCAAGAACAAGTTCAAATCAAGACTTATTTTGCTACCAGTCATTAGCAGCTAACGCACTTTCTACCGTTATTTAGAAATAATATGACCAGCGAAGACACTTACCACTGTGAGATTGCGTATCTCCTCCATGACTCGTGGCCAGAAGGACTGAAGGCTTTGCTGCGCATCGCTGTTGCTAGCTGTGCCGAAGCTACCATCTGTGGACATTCTGATATCTAGAAGAAACATAGACAAGCATTAGCAGTGAGGGAGGGGAGTCAGGAGCCAAAGAATCCCAGAGATTCTCTGCAAGTCACACGAATACAGCAAGGGACCAGTCTGGGTAATCAAATCCCTTTGGGAAATTGTTAAAAGTAAGATATGCCTGTCCAGGTCCCATCATAACAATGTGAAGATATTCACATCTTCTGGAAGGGATGTGAATGATGCTATTAGACATGAGTGCCAGGACAACAGCCAAGTAACCATACCAAAAAAAAAAAAAAAAATCATTTCATAGATCAATCCCACATTAACTATTCAAGTTTGAAGCCTCATCATCTTTCTTTCTTTCTTTATTTTTTATTAAAGATCAAAAGGAGTTATTACAAAACAACAGATGCTTGGTGTCTCAGCTCACATTCCAGTGCACACCTATTGTAAAATCATTTTTCCTCTTGCTTGTTACAGCCAGCAACTCTGCAGGATATCGCAGGAGCCCCTCCCAGTTAAAGTCAGAATATCCATGTCAGCCAGATATTATCTCTAAAAAGTGTAATTAAACAGTTTATTCTGTGCCTACTTGAATACCTTCAGTTTTTGTGGTTTTACATTTTTAAAATACACCTTCCCCCAGGGCACAATCAACAGGAGAAATTAAATCTATCATACAGAATGTCAAAGGCACAGAGTAAGGTTTGAAATGAAAGTCTTCCAATTCAAACAACTGTAACATGCTCAAAATTAATGAGCAAAGTTCATTTTTAGAAGGCAAGGCTCTTATTTATGCTTATAAAATTAATCCAACAACAAAAAACTATGACTGTCATTTAGTGGTCTACAGCTGGAGGATGTTAAGCAAGTTCTGGCCAATATTAAATTTATATTGGACATTGCCTCTGCATTCATTAAGACTTGTGTCTTTACAAATGGCTGTATTTACAGCAGTACTTGTCGTCATCAAGAACTTGTATGGAGAAAACACAGGGGCAGTAAGTGGGTTCAGACCTTCCTATGCAACCGTGCTGTACTATAGTAAAGATGGTGAAGAGGTGAGGACACGCGGCAGAAATCAAACTCTTCCTCGGGGACTAAAATGGTGCAAGCCAATATCATACCGTTCAGATGCGTTTCCAGCATTACCTAATACAAACCTTCTTTTCCATAAACTTTCTGACTAAGAACTCTTAGGACAGAATTAGTCAATATTAAAACCAACTCATATACACAATTTGGGAATCACTTTAAATACAAAGGCTAGCTTTACTCTCTTCTGTAACGCATGGGTCCTGCAGGGTTCCCAATAGGAATCTCACCCTTTACTGCTCTAGTAACGAATG